ACAATGAACAAGAGTCCCAAGGGCCTTAACGGTCATCTGAGTACAAGTGATATATGAAGCTTTGTTGCCAAATAGCAAGTAAAACAGTATGATGATCAACAAAATAATTGTTCTAGTAACTTTCTATCTTTCCCCCATTTATCACTATTACCATGCAGACTTTTAACAAAATGTCTATATTATTACCTCTCACATTGGCCTCATTTGGCCTTTGAAGAACATTTAAAAAGATAAGTTTTTTTTGTTTTATTATTTCCAATTCTACCTGATTATAAAAACTATGAAAGTACTTTTTGTATTATACAATAAATGCTCTTGCATAGTTCTCTTATTTTATTAACCTTTCAAATACATTATCTACAGTGATTAATTATCAAATGTGAATAGCAAAGGGGAATAACTTCACTCAGTAGAATACAAATTAATAGAGCCCTGGCCAGGACCAGAACACTTGACTAAACGGTCCAGATGTTCAAAATTCTGGTAAAAATACCTTGCTTATTAAAACTTTTACTCAGTTTGCTTCCAATATACCCATGAGCAGAGGAGATTTTCAAGGAAATAATGCATTTTCACTATTTAACACAGCCCTACCCTAACACCAGAACCCACGACCTAGGGTCATGAAAATTTACAAATTTGGTAGAGGTACCCTTATCATCATAACTATGCAATTAGTTGAAGATTTTGAAAGAATTCCACACATTTGCACTATATAATCAAATAGAGCCCCCCCCCCCCACCTCCCCCTCAGAGAAACAACAGAACCCCTGGGACCACAAGTTTTAAAAAATTTGTAAAAGCACCCTTGCTCATCATAACTAGACACTTGTTTCTTTGTTTTATAACCAGGAGTAGAAAAAAAATATTTTGAAAGAAATTATGAATTTTCACTATATAATCAATAGAGCCCCCCCCCCCCCCCCCTCTCACTAGAACCCCTGACCCTGGGGCCATGAAATTCACAATTTTAAAAGAGGCAGCCTTGCTCATCATAACTATGTACTTAGTTAGAATATTTCATACCCAGGAGCAGAGGAGAAGATTTTCAAAGATTTAATGCACTTGCACTATATAATCAATAGAGCCCCACCCTAACACCAGAACCCCTGACCCAGGGGCCATGAAATTCACAATTTTGGAAGAAGCAGCCATGCTCATCATAACTATGTACTTAGTCAGTTTATTTCATACCCAGGAGCAGAGAAGAAGATTTTCAAAGATTTAATGCATTTTCACTATATAATTAAAAGAGCCCTGCCCTAACACCAGAAACCCTGACACTGGGGCCATGAAATTCACAATTTCGGTAAAGGCACTCTTGCTCATCATAACTATGTACTTAGTTTATTTCATGCCCAGGAGCAGAGAAGATTTTCAAAGAATTAATGCATTTTCACTATATAATCAATAGAGCCCCCCCCCCCCTAAAACCAGAACCCCTGACCCTGTGGCCATGAAATGCACAATTTTAGTAGAGGCACTCTTGCTCATCATAATTATGTACTAAGTTAGTTTATTTCATACCCAGGAGCAGAGAAGAAGATTTTCAAAGATTTAATGCATTTTCACTATATAATCAATAAAGCCCCGCCCTAACACCAGAACCCCTGACCCAGGGGCCATGAAATTCACAATTTTGGAAGAGGCAATCTTGCTCAACATAACTATGTACTTAGTTAGTTTATTTAATACCCAGGAGCAGAGAAGAAGATTTTCAAAGAAATAATGCACTTTCACTATATGATGTATATAGCCCCACCCTATGTAATGACACGAATTAATATATCATCAATCAAATGAAATTAAAGGAATCCTCTAATGCTGTATTATTCAATTACTAAATAAGTAGTTACATGTACCACGACGCATGTGCGTCTTCAAACACAATTTTCCGCTCGGGTTCATGCTTTTTATTACATTTACAAAAGTGAAATACAGTAACTGTAATTTATTATTGAATAAAGGTTAAATTTTTCACACTGTGAAAAAATATATATATCAAATATGCGGCAAAGCTCTTCCTTCCCTTCACGATTGATTGATTGTTTGTTTGTTTTTAAAGTCCCTCTCGAGAATTTTTCCCTCATACGGAGACGCCACCACTTGCCGGTGGAGGGCTACAAATTCTGACCTATATTCGGCACTTACGGCCATTGAGCAGTGAGGGATCTTTTTCGTGCCAGCACCTACTGCGATACGGGACCTCGATTTATACGGTCTCATCCGAAGGACCGGTCTCCACGTCCCACAGTAGGATTCGAACCCGCGACGTAAAAATCAACTCCTTACTCCGCGACTCTAGAGCAGACGCTCTAACCACTGCGCCACGCAGGCGACCCTCCCTTCACGAAGTGCAACGAAAAATATTCTCTACCGTGTTATAACACAGAAAGAGTAAATAGACCTTCCTGACAGAGACTATAACTACCAAAGTTTCTCCAAATTGTTGTTAAAATCCATATCGACCATTTCTCGTAATAGCTTAGCTATGATGTCTCTCAACATTAAATAAAGTTCATATTATTGACACACATACATTACTCTTGGGGGAAAATTCCCTCAGTATTCCTGAATACCTTTTTTTCTATTGTACATTCTTATATTCAGCATTCTGGTAGATTCAATTGATTGTTCTTTAAAAAAAAAAGAAAGAAAGAAAGAATTGTGTATACAGACCAGAATTTATCAGTACATATTTTTATGTCGTGGGTTAATTTAATCTGTAGAAATTAATTCCATATTTTTTTTAATATTTCATATAGGGGGAGTGCGAAGTAAGTTTTTATGAATTTGCGTCCAATCCCATTGTATATATTAATTACAATAAAATATGTTCAACCCAAACCTTAAGGGGAAAAAAGAGGCGAATAATGATGAAATAATAAAAGCATTCTTTTTGAGGATTTCATTCAGACTTTTTTTATAATACCATTTCAGGCACAAACATTTTTACATTTTCTCGACGAAACTATGATTTACGCCAACTTTGAAAATTTTAGGGTGGGGGGGGGGGGTGCGCCGGGTGCGCCTCCCCTTAAATCCGCCACTGTATTATATAACAACTCAATAATATTTTGAACGCCACGTGCCAAAGTTTAACTTAGAATATATTTATGTACAATCTTTACACTTTGTTCTGCTTCGCCTTCTAATAACAACATAAGTATAGAATCATCACTACGTGATGTATTTGTAGTTTTGTTCAAATCAAATCGTCGCCTTTAAAAGTCAAGAATATAGCCAAACTATCTAGTCATAATCATATCTAGGAATATAAAATAACAAGTCCAAAAATTTAAAGTAAACCGTGCAAGACCTTTTTTCAAATCATCCACGTTACTTTTGCAAACGAAATAATGAAATATCAAGTATATTACCGCATATTATTCAGAAGAATGGTCGTTAGTTAAGTATAATACAACAATATCAAAAGATTGAACATTTTACTTTTGTTGTCATGTGTTTATTCAGGATACATGTCTTCCATTATATTCATGTTTCGATCCCTTATCTCATATACGAACAAGAGGCCCATGGGCCACATCGCTCACCTGAGTAACTTTGGCCATGCTGTTCTTCACCAGATTTCCCCCCTTGTAATACCTATTGTGGCCCCGCCCTACCCCCGTGGTCATGATTTGAACAATTTAGAATCTACACTACCCCAGGATGCTTCCAAATAAGTTTCAGCTTTTCTGGTCCAGTGGTTCTTGAAAAGAAGATTTTTAAAGATTTTCTTCTATATTTCAATGTAAAACTTGGATTCCCTATTGTGTTCAACCCTACCACAGGGGGTCATGATTTGAACAATGGATGCTTCCACTTTAGTTTCAGATTTCTGGCCCAGTGGTTCTTGAGAAGAAGACTTTTTAAAGATTTTTCCTATATATTTCAATGTATAACTTGGATTCCCTATTGTGGCCCCGCCCTACCTCCAGGGGTCATGATTTGAACAATTTAGAATCTACACTATCTCAGGATGCTTCCAAATAAGTTTCAGCTTTTCTGGCCCAGTGGTTCTTGAGAAGAAGATTTTTTAATGACCCCACCATATTTTTGTCTTTTCTTGATTATCTCCCCTTGTAAGGGGACTTGGCCCTTTATTTTTAACAATTTACACTCCCCCTTACCCAGGGATAATTTGTACCAAGTTTGGTTAAAATTGGCCCAGTGGTTCTTGAGAAGAAGTTGAAAATGTGAAAAGTTTACAGTTGGACAGACAGACGGACGGACGGACGACGGACAACGGGTGATCAGAAAAGCTCACTTGAGCTTTCAGCTCAGGTGAGCTAAAAAGTCATCTTTTTTATACATAATAATTATGATATTGATTGACAAGAAAAAAAATTATTTACGTTCATAAAAGAGAAGGTATACATCTCTGAATTTTAAAATTTCTTTTTCTTCAAAACACTTCCTGATGTGTTCATTATCACAAATATACCATTGATTGTCATGTTTCACCGCGGAATAATAATGCCCTCCGTTGAAATCCCCGTTGTGGTATACTACTGCATACAGTTCATACTGGGACTGAAAACAGAAGAAATGAAATGTGCATCTATTTTGACTTTAAATTTAAACTACACATTTTTTTTTATTGTGATACGGTGTCATTCATCAAACACGTGATTTTTTTAAATCCATATCCAAATATAAATGTAAAGGTTAGAACTTGTCTAATACAAAAACGTTAGTTGAAAAAATAGCTCGAATCTCTTTTCAGTTAATTAGGATTTTAATATTTTTCTTAATATCTTTCTAAGCTTGATTGATGTAAGTAGTAACACAATTTATAGGTATTCAAGCGCTTGATGTAGCTCTCAAACATTAAAATTGTAGGAACCCGTCTCATTTTTCTTGGATCACATCCCAAAATTCATATCAATGTTACCAGGAGAAAAGAACGTGCTGCTTTCAGTTATTCATTGCTTCATTGAAAAATCTTATTTTCCATTATTATATCATATCATTCGATTGTTTTAATGACTATTTACCATTTCATAAACTCTTCCTTCCCTTTCAGTTTCCAACTGAAGCCTTGGGCTGAATTTTATTTCGCAATTTCTTTTGACAAAACCATCACCATTATCCTGAAAGAATAGTTTACGATATCAAAATATTAATTTTATATTTTAACTATATTTTTAAAATTAAGTCATTTTGATCTACCATCAAAGGACAGACTCCATTACATATAAGTATTACATGCACTAGCAATGTTTGTATTTTTTTTAATGAAAATACCAAAATTCGTTGTATCTGAAACATCAGCAACGCCGGACAATTGGCCAATCTTGAAGTTTTGACAAGTTTTCTACTTTTTCTACAGCCATAACATTCCAATTCTCCATTTTCAAACAATTCTTCTCCGTACAGATTATCCATGTTAACTTTCTGTACAAAAAAAGTGTTAATTCCCGTGAATCCATGTTTACTGCTTGTAGAAGTGCCATGTAAATTTTACAAAAACATTGAAGTGACTGGAAAAAATTCAGCATTACTCTATTGTTTATTTAATCTAAAATAACACACAATTCCAAAATATATACCTCAGATATATCTGTAAGAGAATTTACACCAAGAACCCTTTGTTCACCAATCTCTTGTTTCTGCAAGCATTGAAGACAATGTTCATATGAAGAATATATATATATATATATATATATATATATATATATATATATATATATATGTAAATATGTTGTAATAATTGTTTTGTTTATCAAATCTCCAAATGAAGGAAATAAAGATTGAATGAATGAATGGCATGCTGCTTTTTATGAAGTAATTATCACAATTACTTACAGTCATACAATCCCTGCATTCTATTTCATCCACAACATCAATGAAAAAGTGATTAACATTTCCTTGATGCATGAAAAAGACACATAAATAAATGCAAACTGCTGCACATACCGAATATGTTCTTTATAAAGACAATGACAAGTATTCACGTGAGATAACATTTTTCCATGTAACGTATCATGCTTTTAACCTACCTTGTATATTTTCATCCTTACTTAGGACGTCCAGTAACACATGAAGAAAAGAAAGACAGTCATTTTGATTATTTGGATCAAAAGTTCCATCTCTGTAAAAGAAGACAATTCTTGTTATATTTTGAAAACCAAACGTATTAAAAATTTGATAGGATTGTTGTCCGAATAACTTGTTCAAAATTAAGATATTTTATTTCGTAAATAGTACTAAACGTCATAGTTGTTAAGCGTAATTTGACATCGTCGAAGAAGATATCTTTGCAAAAGATAATTATAATTTATCTAAAAGAACCAACATTGAAAACTTAACAAATCTATACAACAATAACATTATATTATGTTATATTATGCATAATGTTAACAAGGTTACTCTTTAACAATTTCAGTTTTAATCTGTAAGTAGAAATCCTTTACGTGTTTTAGGCGAGTTTTACATAATGCTTACATGGAATGACAGAATACAAGCAACTGTGATATATTATATCTCATCTCATCTGATGCAGTATCGCTAGTCAAAATACCCAATAAAAGGTCAATAAAGGAGTCCTGTAATAGAATTGAAATCTCCAGTAACAGTTCCTTATATCACAGTGTATCTATCAATAGACTTAATTCCATACAAAACAATTCTTATGTCTTACACATCTTAACAATGTAATAAACATCTTTAACAAAAGATATTTTCATCATTTTTATCAAAACTTTTCATATAAATTTAAAGTTCATGGTGCAAGATCTTAAATTCTTTACTACCTTTTTAGGTGTGTTTCTCTCCAGAAATTGAACAAAGAGTTCAGTATGGCGTAGAACCTTTATGAACAATATCTATACTATATGATAAGGTTTCACAAAATGAAAAAAAGCATAATTAATAATATTCTTACACACGAGTACAAACAGATTCAAAGATTGTAAAGAGGTCGACAATATTAATATCATGCTTTAAAATTCAGCTTAAAAAATAAAAAAAAAAGATAAAATACTATCACTTTATCAATCTGTACTGAAATTTAGTCAACAGCTTATTTGCAAGGACTAACGCTATGATGAGCATTCGTCAAAATCAACACTGTGATGGTCAGACTAAAGCGTCATTTATATCAGATTAATGAAAAATAATTTGTATTGGTAAATATGGATTACAAATACCTGAAGAATACAACTAGCATAGCACGTCAGTCCGACTGAGGGTATTCCAATAACTGGCATAGGAGTTCCCTGTGTTTAAAAAACGACTTATAAATGATAGGTTTCTGATCCCCAATGTTTAACTTAAAAGAAGGTGTTTTCAAGAAAATGATCCAAAAGGATCTGTGTAGCAGCAAAAAAATCTTTTAGATGAAATATGTGGAGATAAAGAACAGTATTCGAGCTCATATGTCTATTAAACATTACAAAATAGGGGCAGAGCAAACACGGACCTCTGAGACATCAGAGGTGGGATCAGATGGCATGGAAGAGTGAGCACCCCCTGCTGACCGGTGAAACCTGCCATGTGCTCTTTGTCATCATCGGGAAATAACGGGAAAATCTGTCGACAATTCAGTGTGTAAATAATGGCCTAACAATTAGTATGAAAAAAGGATCACGTTAAAAACATACCTTACTTAGGAAAGCTTTTAATTCATTAATCGGATACTCTGCATGGCATATGTGATACAATGGACATTCTACATGGTTCGAGTCCTTGGTGGATTTTTTGAGGCAGGGCTGACAGACAACATGAGCACACAAACAAAGTTGGACCTCACCCTATTTCATGGAGAAGTTATATATTATTTAATGATATATATAATCTAATAATACAATGAATACAATATTTTTTGTTATATATATATATATATATATATATATATATATATATATATATATATATATATATATATATATATATAAATATATATATATATATATATATATATATATATATATATATATATATATTACTTTGTTCACTGAGCATGATTGACATGCAGTATCTTTGTCTGTGTCCTTAATAAATGCATCTCTGATGATTTCCTACAAATTTATAAACATCAATTAAGTCTAAGACTCAAAAAATGCTCAGTTCCATGCACAAAGACTTAAGAATATAGTACAATATTATTTTATATTTTTTCACTGCACGTCTAGTAGAATGATAACATAAGCAAAGGCAATTACATGTATATAATTATCTAATTTATGAATAATTTTGATAGCTTGCATAATGTTTATCAAATCAGTAGTGCTTGAAGAAAAAGGAAATGAAGTGCATCCTTTTATAAAAAAGAAATTCAAGACAATCTTATACCTGATAATGAAAATATTTTTTTCTTAAAAAGACAGCTTTTGTTGCTGGAAAAAAAAACTGTGTCGATTATTTAATAACCTTAATATTGAATTTCATACCTGATCCTTAGCAAAGACGGGTCTTCTATTGCTTACTTCGTCCAGATGTGAGCACAAAGAGCAGTCTCTGAAAGCTTTTGAACAATTCATGCAAACAACATGCTGACAGCTCAGTTCCTTGCACTGCAATGAAGGTTACCGTAGTAAATGTTGAAATAAACAGAAATTACATGACATTGTACAATGTAATTTTAAGTTTTATTAACTAAAGAGACCATGACAGTCACCTCAGTATCGGAAGTTTTTCAGAATATAACTCAACAATCTGTCATTAATGTGATGTGGTATATATATATATATATATATATATATATATATATATATATATATATATATATATATATATATATATATATATATATATATTATATATATGCTCACTGGATTTTTGTTTTATTGTAATGCAAAAAGTATTTACGTATATGTAGCATGTAGCGAAGTAATGAATTTGACAGTTTTTAAAGGTATACAAATTGAACACATTTTCAGAGTCTGGTGAACTAAGACGCAATCTGAAAATTTCAAAAGTCTGTTATTTCTTTGATTTGGAAAGATGTTATTTTTTCTAAAGGAGTACTCAAAATATATTTAATTTAATAGAAATATATGATTTTTTGTAACTCTCTCTAACTTAAACACTCTTTAGAAGAATTGTATAAAATTTTCGTATTATTCGATATTTTGTGAAAAGGTCCGCTGATTGATGCTTTAGACATGTATACGGATTTCGATGTTTCAGTAAAGGGTGCATTGCCTCTTTCCCTCATGAATGGAGTTTGTTTGCTACATTTTAATAGGAAAGAACGAGATTAGCAACTTTCAAACAAGTTGGCTCCCATCAGCCACATACCACAAATCACGTACTTTACTTGACACTTGTTTATTGTTTCAGTGGTGTGATACGAGCTTTATGATATTTTATTAGTTTATTACATGTACTACATGAAGCTGGAATTCCTCCATCACCAGGAGCCTATTTGTACAACTGTTGTACAGATTATTTAATTAGTGAGGAAGTGAGCATATAACCCTCTTCACCCATGTTTATGACACAATAGGTAATTGGAGAAATTTGCACTGCAATTTCTATCCTTTTTAAGGATGTGCCAGTATGTTTTAGAATTTTATTATAAGATGTATAAAGGTATAAGGCATATATAAGTATTTAGTATAAGGACAAAAATGCTTACCCATCCATCCAGAGCTTCATTACAAAATACACATGATATCTGGCGTGTAGCACAATTTACCTTAAAAAAAAAAAAACAGGAAAAATAAATTTTTGAAAGAAAAAAAAATAAATGAGTTTGTCTTTAGTATGGGGGCAATGACCTATTTTTTCTTTTCTGTATTGTTGTCTGTTTGTCAGTCACAAAATCATATCTCTTGACCTTGATGGGAATGTTCTCTGACGAAGTACAATTTAGCTTATAAAGCATATTTATAATGATCTTAATACAAGGTCACGTTTCAAAGCAGATCTGTGAGGTAAAAGAGGATGAATTCAAGAGGGGGTAAAACTTAAAGAATAGTAACATGTATTTAAAAATTATTTTAAACTATTGATACATGTGGAAACAAAAATATATGGCGTTATTCAAAGTATGCAGCTTAGGAGCCTGAGGATAAAAGTAAGACCCACCTTGACAAGGTCACATAAAGATGATTTTCCTTTACAAGTTTTCACAAAGCACGCAACATATCCGTGTGTTCTAGTAGCCTGTCCAAAACACTCGGAACAAAGGGAATGGTTGCAATTGCCGAATACCACCATGTAGCCCTACAAAAGAGTGTCATTACACCTTGACCATTTTTAAATTTTTTAAGAATGAGATGAAGCTTAAGTTTAAATTATTCATCTGTTTTTCCCCTTACATTTGAGGCTGTGAAATGGTAAATTTCATTTACAATTTAAAATGTCATAAAATAAATAACTCTATAAATGACATTATATTATTCAGCAATTTTTTAGAAACGCTAGTCATGTCTTTTTGGTATTGATTTTTATACAAGATCCGGTAGGTATACCTTATCTTTAGCATAACTAAAATTCCCGCTACAGCTGTCGCACTTTGTCTGTAAATGAAAGAAAGACACGCAATTAAATTGTATACAAATTAGAGAGGGGGCGTTGAAAACAAACTCTGGATTAAAAGTTAAAAGGTGACCATATTATTTTGAACCTTTCTATTAGACCCCAGAGGGGTGTGTGTACATGTATAGAACTGAAATATCTTCTTTCCTGTCTGCCTCAATAGTGACAGAGAATAGATTTTGTCATTTGCATCAGCTGATTTGCATATTGATATTACATGTAATTTTTTTTTTTTTTACATTCCATTTACTTTCCATAATGTATGCATAACAATTTACCTAAGTTACAAACATTTTTTTCTTGATAACAGGTTTGATAAAAAAAAATTATAATGTTCATAAATGAAGTTATATAATTGTGGCTTTTCGTTTACGGGGAGGAAAACGGTTCTGTATGGATCAAGTCTTTTAAAAGCATAAAATTACTATCTTACCTTCCGTTTTTCCATAGTGTATTGTAATAAATCTTTATTGAAGTTTCGTTTTAATTTCTATTAACCTTACTCTTTCACTTTCGTTTTGCCTGGTTTTCCCGCTTGTCGCTTACTAAAATTTGATTACCTTTAAACGTTTAAACAATTTGTCATCTAAAGAAAGAAACGCACTTAATATATACATGTATTTATAAAACATTGAATAAACCTAACTATTCATGGCCTTTTGGTTATAACTGGAAGGTTGGTACTTGTTTCGTATACGGGGTACCCCGTACTTAAAAAGGGGTGCACCGTATACGAAACAAGTGCCTGTGGCATGCATGCATGCTGTATTTTAAAATGATCGAAATAATACAATGTATGTATGTCTGGTGCGTGCTATTCTTAAGTTGTCAGAACCTGTTTCCGACCATATTGATTTTTTTTTCAATAAAATATGTTCAAAACAAAACATGTACATGTATTTCTGGTTTGAAATATATCCGGTATCCACAGGCTTCTTACATTCAAGGCAACATAAACGCGACTGAACTATTCATTTTACGCAATTAAAAGGGATAAGTTTTTTGGAGATACGGATATTTATGATACAACGAAAAATGTACAACTAAGCTGTTTTCAGTTTATTGAGCTTAAAAAAGAAACAGATTATCCATACATTTTTTTCTGAATATCTTTTATTTATTTTACCAGTAAATATTCATTTTTTAATACACACAGGCTGAAAACAAATTAAGCATTTAAGTTCACCTCACATTGTTTATTGTTAACTTCCTGCAAGTCGTAGAATAAAATGGATAATTGATTCATTTGTTATACGACACTCCGAGATTTTTCTGTGGCGTTCTAGCTGTTTCCCTGCGTAAATGAACCGCACACTTTCGATTTCTAATCCAACATCATTATTCTCGGGGGTATCCCATTTGTTAAACATCGTTTCAATCGTATCAGTCTGGAAATTGAATAAGTTTAGAAAATTAAAATATGTTGATTTACATAATTAATTCTACAGTTATCTTTATCATTTCTATAGTTCTTGATTTAATTTTAAATATATTTATGGTAACATTTCTCCTAAATGATCGAAGTGAGCACTTCAACTTGATGTTATAAGCATTTTTGTATTATACGTACAAAATTGTTAACCCCCACCCACCCCCACCCCCCGTAATTTAACGCTATGATGTAACATGTACAATGTATAGTAATAGCCACATGTACTACGCTTCTTTGTCAGTAAAAAATCTCTATATTATCGTTTTACTAACAGCGTGACCGTTTGCTTGATGGGGCGTGCTAAAATTTTGTGTGCTGATTATTATTTTTACTCATCGATTGGATGCTTGATTTCAATGAAATCAATACTAATTTGCATATGAAATTCAGAATACAACAATACTCTAATAATGCTGGCCAATCAGATTGAATGATTGTTTACCAGTACGCCATAAGATTCCAACACTTTTCCTCAAGAAATCATCATCTTATATGTAATGATTTCAAACCTTTTATCAAAATTCTGTACTTTTCTTCTGCTTTCAGGTCAAAAGTATTCAAAGCACTATTTGAACCTCTCAAAATTTACTTTGGATTTAAAAATATACTTCGTTATTTCATGACTGTTCGGTACAATGGCAAGGTTTGAGATGACATTAGGTGTGCAGTTTCATGCTCACTAGTGCATAATTAAAAGGGGTGTTCGATTAATACTTTGCATATGAAACACAGAAAACAGCAATACCAATGACAATACTGACCAATCGTATTGAGTGATTATTCACTACTTTGCAGTACACAACAATTACATGTGGACAGACAAAGCACGTTTTACTTCCTATAATGATGATATCGATAGCTATATAGTACAACAGTAGCAGAGTAGCCTTACTAATTCCATAATTTAAATTTTCTTATACGCATTTAATTAAAACTCCATCCGGTCAAATCATAACAAAAATGGGCTTTGACTGACCCTGTGTTGCTGCAGACAACAAATGCCGTACTGGTAAACAGTCATTCAATGTGATTGGCCAGTATTATCGGGGTATTGTTGTATTCTGAATTTCATAGGCAAATTAGTACAACGATAATTTTTCCCATTACACTATTTGCTTGATCAGTTGCAGACATTTAATTTTGTGTATAAAAATGAAAAAAAAAAAAAAAAAAAAATTAAATCTTACCGGTTCTACTCTGACCATATCAAATCGTCCTTTGTGTAAGGTCTTAATGAACACTGTCAACGACATAATTATTGAATTTAGCTTTGGTCGTCTCTCTTATTCTGAACAACAATCTTTCTAAATTTGCTAAAGATAATGTTATAACAACTTTCGGTTTCTCTTTCATTTTCTAGGATGAGGCTTTATTGCTTTAATCAGACAAAGTTCATCGTTCTTCCCTCTATCAAGTGTGAGGCGTAGCGAACCGTTGGTGTCCGACCAAAACAAAAACAATACTCACCACTAGAGCTGTCATACTTTGTCTGTAATATTGAAAATAAAAATAAAATTACATTTCAGTTGTGTACCAGTAACATTTGTATCGGGGGGGGGGGGGGGGGCGGTCCGGGACCTTCCCCCCAGGATTTTCAGAGTTATTGATATTTCTATGTAAAGTAATAAAAATGACCAAGGATCCCCCTAGGCAACGCGGACTCCTCGTAAAATTGAAGCGACTTAGCAAAGTTACTTGCTATCTCCCCCCTCCCCATTTTCCCAACAAATACAAGGGCCCCCATCTTTTTTGCTCGTCAATTTTTCCGAGTCCGATACTTGTCTGAGGTGGTCTAAACCTCCCCCTCCCTCTTCTCGAAAAAAATTATATATATTCTAGATCCGTGCATGATACTGGTATATATATAAGTTATGCATATAATATTTTCACTGACTTAGCTAGCGAGAATAATCTTGCTAACAGGTTTCCACTAATGTAAAGAAATTAAGCACAATAGTGTAGTCTCCTATTATTAGGTAGAAAATAGATTCACCTTCCATTTCGCCAGTTTGTATTGCACTATAGTCAAAAAACAGGTTATCACGCTTCAATGAATCTTATACTTTCATCCCCTTGTCGAGTACTGGAATTTAAACCTAAAATCAAAATAAAATATATGAACAAACTGAAATTACATGTATACGAAAGAAACGCAAGCCAGTTGCATACAAGGGAAGGGGACGCAGGGAGGCCTATCACCCCCCCCCCCCTCCATTCTGACCTTTTTTCAGAAAACGATTTTCTGCTGTAAACTTTGTAACTTAAGGTAGACCACTCCCTTTTGTTGCAGTTTGGCCGAGTCTTACCTTGATAGAGAACCCCCAAAAATGTTTTACAGGAAATGAGTGAGAACCCCACCTCCATCCCCACCCGGGAATTACATGCAAGATATTTAGTTTAAATTTATGATACTACAGGTCTGTTTCATTTTTATGCCCCCGTATCGAAGATTCGGGGGTATATAGTTTTGGCCCTGTCCGTCCGTCTGCCTGTCTGTTTGTCCGCAAAAACTTTAACATTGCTCATAACTTTTGATTGGTTGAAGCTATTGCTTTCGAATTTCACATGTGTATTCCTTGTGACAAAACCTTTCTTTGGGTTCCATCATATTTGACCTTTTGACTTTGACCTTCAAGTTTGACCCAGTTTTACAAAATTTTCCCCAACTTTAACCTTGGCCATAACTTTTGAACGGTTAGTGCTAGGTCTTTCATATTTCACATGTATAATTCTTGTGACAAGGCCTTCCTTTGGATACCAACAAATTTGACCCTTTGACCTTGATCTTGGAGTTTGACCTACTTTTGAAAAACTTTAACATTGGCTATAACTTTTGAATGGTTGGTGGTAGAGCTTTCATATTTCACATGTGTAATCCTTGTGACAAAACCTTTCTTTGATGACCTTTTGACCTTAACTTTGGAGTTTGACCTAGTTTTACAAAATTTTACCCAACTTTAACCTTGGCCATTTCTTTCGAACAGTTGGAGCGGAGCTAAAGCTTTCATACTTCACCTTGTAATCCCTGTGCCAAGACCTTCCTTTTGATTCCAACAACTTTGACCCTTTGACCTTGACCTTGGAGTTTAACTTACTTTTGAAAAACTTTAACCTTGGTCATAACTTGTGAACTATTGGTGCTAGGGATTTCATACTTCACATATCTAATCCTTGTGACAAGACTTTCCTTAAGATACCAAAAATTGTAATCCATTGACCTTGACCTTGGATTTTGACCTACTTTTGAAAAACTTAAACCTAGGTCATAACTTTTCAACGATTGGTGCTTCAGCATTCATATTTGACCAGTATATTTCTTGTGCGAAGGCCTTTCCTTATGCACCATTATTTTTTACCATTTGACCCTGACCTTGATGTTTGATTTAATTTTGAAAAAACTTAAACCTTTCCATATCTATTCAATGGTTGCTGCTAGGGCTCTCATATTTCACAGGTATATTCCTCGAGACAAGACCTTACTTCGGGTACCAACATATTTGATTTGCATTTGAGAAAGTTTAACCTTTGCTATAAGTTGCCATACGGAGGCATCAGTGTTTCACAA